TTTGATAAAGTTTGGAATAGAATTAGTAAAGTTATTATGCACACAATAACAATTATTAACGACGACGACGACGACGACAACAACAACGACAACACCGGACAAAAATTTTCCCTTAATATACCTTTCTCTTCCATCTTTGATGGTACGGGCAAGGTAATAAAACGACAAAGGCAGTTGTCAGCGTTGTGTGTGATATGAGGCGCTTGACAACTTTGGGTTGTGAACACTGACACCTACACGTTCGAAGGAAAGGAGTGTACGTTAATTACTCAACTGTATTCATTTAAACATTCACCCAATTAGTACAAATATATACAATTCTCAAAGACGGGACCACGTCACGATCCCCCAATCGTTGCCAGAACAAAGAAGAACCCCTTCCCAAACGCTAACCGACTTTCTCTCACGCCAAATAAAACTCTTTCTACTGGCTTCCTGTCCCTGTGTGTTTTCGAGAATACGCATATGAAAGATATCATTTGGGGTCAGGTGGTACATGAAGAGCTTCATGGCAAAAGTTTTCAAATCTGGACAAAACGGTGGATAGAACCGTCTGTAACAATCCTTCACAGCCGACACCGTCTAAGTGTTAATTAACAACTAGTTGCCCTTCAGGGTCAACTCAGACAACCGCACCTTTATACAAGAATAAACATGCCTGAGTCATGACATGGCGGAGTGATATGTCCTAGCTCTATGAACATTGAGTACGTGACCCAATTTTAACAGATAGCGTTGCTATGCAAAAATAATGTGCGTGAAAATAGTGCATAACGACAGGTTTTTTGTTTCGCACATTTTTTTTTAACTGTTAAATTTAGAATTGGCTATTAACAAAAGAAATGTAACCTTTCGAACAATAGGCGGATTGGTACACTGAGTTCACACAGTTCATGCGCATTAAGCACACAGTGTAGTGCTTTCAATCCACATTCCGATTCTGACTGAAATTGGACCACAGTGCATTTTATTCTCTCCCGAGAAACATTCCCGCTTCTAACCTTCAATATGCGTGAAATTGTACATCTGCAGGCTGGTCAATGTGGTAACCAAATTGGTGCCAAGGTAAGTATAGATTTCTGCTTGGTTTTAGATGTGATTGGCATCAAATGTACACAACAATGGTCTGTACGGAGAACGAATAGCTTGGCGTTTAAGATTGCACAGCAGGCGTATCTCTTGTTTTGGAATCATGAAATAGATTTTGAAACTAAAAATAAAAGCTCCTATTAGTGAATTTCCGCTGTTCAGGAGTTGATGATTTCCATAATTGATTATTTTTCATGTAACGATATTTTGTTCAAAATATATATTTCATGGATCCCATACGACTAACCACTGATCAATAAGACGCGAGATTTATGAAAATGA